ATAAACTCGGCTTGGCCTGAGTTAAGTTATTGGATTTAAAACTTGACTCGAGCCAGATTTAAATATTTGAGCTCAAGCCAAATCTTATGTAACTCGGCTTGACTTGGCTCATTAGGAGCTTTACTCAAAGGAATAAAAAAAAATGGGAAAAATGAAGAAAAAGTGAGAAAGTGAAATTAAAAAAAAAAAAGAAGCTGAAAAAAAAAGGATTTAAATACCTTTTTTCATGAGAAAAAACTAATCTATAATCATCATATGCTAATCTGTAATTAAAATAACTGAAATTTGAAATTTCGAATTTTAAAAATCAGATTATCTCATACAAATTTCCTTTTTTGAAAAACAATCAAAAAGTTTCAAAAAGTTTCTGGGTTCTAAAAGTTTCGATGATATAATTAAGATTATAATACTGATCAAATAAATTCTTCAGCTATTTTGCTTTCTCCCCACTTCACTTTTTCTGTCCTAACTTTTCTTTTTTTCATTTATTCCGCTTTTCTAATTTCAAGTTTACTTTTACTATTATTATTAAAGATTATTAAAGAATATTAAAGAATAAAAATATTAACCTTTATTTTTTTTTTTTTTATTTTCTACATCTTATTAGAACGACGATATTTGAGGTAGGTTTGGGAAGAAAGAAACTTTTAGAAGATTTAGAAGATTTGAAGATTTAGATGTGAAGTGGGTGTTTTCTATTTATTTATTTCTTCTATTTATTTGTTTTCTGTTTAATGCTAATGGCGATGTATAGGCCTACACCTGTACGTCGTCTCTCTATTTGTAGTTTTCCTAACACGAACTGGAAACCAAGAAATGAAGATAATGTAAGTATTTTATAATTTTATTGATAGAAAAGTAGAAAATAGAAAAAAGAAAATTTGAATTAGTTATTTATATTTTTGTAAATATTTCCTTAATGAATAAAATAAAATAACAAAATTTGAAAGTATTGAAATCATTATTATTTTGATTAATTTTCACGCATACATCCAAAAAATAAAAAAAAAATGAAAATACATGTATAATTGTATAATTTCACTTCGTATAATGGTTAAAAAATAATTGAGGGATTTTTGTTACAAACTAGTGTTAAGGCACAAATTGTTCTTTGAAGTCTTTTGCTTTTAAATTCTTCGAGATAAAATCAATAATACTAGTGAAAATTCTAAATGTGATCAAGTAAATTTAGGAATGATTATATAGCATTTATATTTTTTTGTCACACTCACTCACACACATTATAAACCCTACTGTATAACAAGTTTTTTTTTTTAAAAAACAATAATAATGGAAAGAACTAATAACTCTACATCGATATTTGAACAGTAAGTTTTATTTGATTATAATTCTTTATTCCTTGAATCGTTTGTTCTGCTAATTCAATTTATTATTATTATTATCAGATATACGTGTTGCCCAAATCCCAAATCATTTGGGATTTGGGACGCCAAAATCCCAAATTACTAGTATTTGGGATTTGGGATTTGGGATTTCGGCAAAAAATACTAATCATAATTTGGGATTTGGGATTTGGGATTTTGGCATTTGGAATTTTGGCATTTGGATTTTGAATTTGGGTGGCAGGTATATTATCAGACGCATATGAAGAGGACTTATATTCTATATGACCACTATCCCCAGAATATTCTCCAAAATTCGAAAAGTACGCAATGTTATTTTACATGTATATATATATATGTTTTCTTTTATTATATTTAAAAAAAAAACTTTACCCATTATATATGATAAATCAGATTATCAAAGAAGAAACGATCTCGAAGTATCAGTAATTCAGAGGACCTTTCCATTTGTCAATATCATCAGAAGGCTGTGAAATTTTTCTGAAAAGTTCGTTTCATTGTTATACGATCACGATATACGGAATATCTCGCCCTCATTCCATATTAGTATTTGTATAAATGTCAAATAATTACTACGAAATCTAAAGAACAAATACCACGGATTGCAGATATAAATGTGAAACTATACATGAATCTTTATATCGTGATCGTCTAAAATTTATTACCTCGATTTAGTATAAAATCTAAAGAACCAATGTTATATATTGTGGATGTTAAATTTTATCGACCTTTTTCTTGGATAAATAAATGCTACGACGAAAAGTTATAGAGATTATTGTATTTTTGATGATAATAGTTATTTATTTCGCAATTGATAAATTGATAGTTTTCTCTCATCTTCAGTGGATCAAGAAATACAAAAACTTATTAAAGATATTTTAGCTATAAAAAATAAAAAATGAAATTATGAAAATGCGCACTGAATCGGAATGGAGATCTGAAATCCAAAGTCAAGGTTTGTGTTACATTATATGCTTAAAGTATACGTATTCTACATCTTGATTAAATATGATGCATTTTCATAATTAGGACAAGTATCTGTGCAAAGTCACAGGTCCGAATATTCCGTTGAAATCGAAACTACTTGGGTCGAATTCACTACAATATTTAACGAAAGAAGGAAAAAAAAAAAAACGTTCCCCTACAAGAATATATCTTATCTGAAGAAATCGGTCTCAGTTCAACTACACTCACAAGTTTTTATCGACACCAGAAAGCGCACAACATACATATTCATGTTACCGTTTATATAATTACATATCTTTTTAAATTAATAATGGCTAAAAAAATAAATATGCCTCAGAGAAACATCCTAAAGACTTAAATGAATAATATTAGTATAAAATAGGATGTGATATTGATTAAAGATTAATTGTTTTCCCTGGTGTCATCATCTAATTTAACAATAAAGTTACTCTTTTCATCATCTTGCGATTGCTTCTGTTCTAATTTCGCAACTCTAGCAACAGTATCTTTATCATTCTGCTTCAGCTTAGCGATAAGGTTGATCTTTTCTTTATCACTCTGTTGCAATTTAGTAATAAGGTCTTTCTTTTCTTTATCTCTTTACTCTAGATTCGTAAATCTAGCCTCAACTTCTCCTTTATCTTGTTTTAGTTTATATTTTCAGACTTAATATTAGCCTAAGTTTATCAATTTTGGTTATAAGCCTAGAATTCAATTCCTTCAATAAGTCAATTGTGCGCTTGCCATTTTTTTATATAGAAAGTAGTTGTATTCAAAAGTTTAATCACGCTTGCAAAGCAAGACCATTTTACGTGGTTAAAAAAAATTGTAAAAATCATGTTAACACACTTTACTGTAATAAAATCGAAAAGAATCAAATTTATCTATTAGTTCTATACCACTGCTAAACTATAAGTTTACTATCCATATTAATACTATCTTCATTTGATATCGATTCTGAATAAAATAGATCGATATGAAATATGCACTGTCAAAAATGATTAATACTCCTGTTATTTGGCTGTGACTATTTTTATCTTGTTTCAGGCCTAAGAGAAAAAACAAAAATATATGAAAGTTTACGCTGTATTATAATGCTAATAAGTATTTATGAGATCTAAACAATATAAATAAAAAAGAAACGTGCCACTGAAAACCAAGCGAGAAAATTGGACCATTATGCAAGAAAGTAAAATTTCCTATATTTAAAAGAAAGTGTAATTAGTGCATTAATAACACAAGACACGAATATATGATAATAATACATGCAATAAAAATTTATGATATAATATATAATTATTTGCGATATAGGAAAATAATAAGTCAGATGAAATGCATCATTTTTTTTTTAAAAAAAAAAAGGTTCAGAATTTATAGACTTAAATTTGTAATAAATTTTTTAGCTTTTTTTTCTCCTTGTACAATTTTTTGATTCAGTTCCAACAAATTTACTTAGAACGTTAACTTTTTGGCTCTAAAAGGACATTTCTTTGAGTAATATTATTATGTAAAACACTGTAACTATATGTTGTCTCAAGATGTTACACTATTGTTCTCTTTTCTTCTACCGTAAGGTTTGCTGGGTCAAATATGCACTAGTCAAATACAAAAGAATCGTTGTATCGAATGATAATTCCTATATATTATAGATCAACTAAAAATCAGAAAAAATCGACCATCCTATTGCATCCTATATTACAAATCAGCTAAAATTGGAATTCCTTTTCAGTACGGCAATTCTTTTGTATTTAACTTGTGATGGTGAGTATCCTCAATTAACACATAAAGATAGCCCATCATATACATAACCTTCATATAATAATTGTGGAATAGTGTTTTCTAATATTATTGTTGCAATATAAAAAGTTAACATAAATAAATATTTTAAAGGAAAAAAATACACATACTTTGTATACCTTGGCATTCATTTAAAATTGAGTACATATTCACTTCGACCATTAATATTTTTTTTACTTCTTCTCTTTATATGCATCACAGGTCTTCCACGTCACAACATGATCATGATAATAACCAGAAAAAACTTTTTTCACCGCCTATATACTCATCTATGATAGTAGCTCCCTTAAACGAACCTGCAACTAATTTTTACTACTGCCGGTCTTTCTTTTTATAGTGGTGGGATCCGTTTAAGACTTATCTGGATATTCGAATAGGTAGTTTGGTAAACGGATAATTTTTTCAGATAAACGGATATCCGTTCAGATTGGCAGATTATCTAAGCTAATCTGATTTAAATATTTGATGAAAAAAAAAATCTTTTAAATAGAATCGGTTGAATCGAATGGAAGTGGATGTATTCGGGTAAGTGTGTTTTTATATTATTTCTATTTAATTTTATTTAATTAAAA